GTATTTCTTTAAAACCATTTTTTAACAATATAATTTTCGCTTTCACTAAGCCTAACGCAATGTGTTACAACAAAATCAAATAAATTGTTCTTAGTTAAATAAACCCACTCAAAACAAGTATTATCATAAATTTTGTAGGATTGTACATGTTCATCTAGATAGCACTGTAACATTCTTTTAGTTAAAATAACAAAGTCATTTTGTTCTTTATTAATAATAATAGTGTGCACAAAATAAAAATCTATTCCTTCTTCGTTGAATGTAACGATAACAGCTCTTTTGTTAATAATATTATTGTTGTAACATATCCACTTAGCAACTAATATGTTAAATTCTACTTGAAAAGGTATAATACAATTATTGACAAAAGGTATTTCGCGTACATTTTTTTGGGCAACTGGTCCAAGAGTTAACAAATGGCAGGATGAAATATTATATTGCAACCTGTAGTTTAAAAGCAGTTGGTGTTTTATAGCTATTGTTCTTGAAATATTAACTCGACTATTTGTAGCTTGGGATGTTTTTTTCCCTTCTCTATGTTTACCTTCATATCGGATACAATTAGTTTTCCATAATACACCGACAAGCTTCATTATTCGAGCATAATGAATTAAAAAGTGATGTTTCGGTTTTATCTTGCCTGGAAATTTGCTATTTAATAAAGTTAAATATTCATTAATAATAGTGTCTAATAAATGATACGTTTCACAATGAACTCTTGAACTAGTTGTAATGTCGATTATTTGCTTTAAAAGAATAACAAGCTGCCAACATTCGTCTTCTTGTGGAATAAAAGAGCCGATAATTAAACAGAAATGCCTTACTAATAACAACATTTCGGCAGAACTAATTATGATTGCTTTATTTTTTAAGTTTTGTTCTGTGATTTCCACAGGTTTATTAATATTATCTTTGTGACTGTACCGAAATGATCTTATTCTAGTATTAACATCTATTAAAGCTAAGTATTTCTTATCAATAAAATAATTTAGAAATAACGCCAAATCGTATCTGCATACACCTTCTAAAATGTCATGCATAACATCTACACAT